CACCAAGTGTCAAAGTCAATTGCCGCGTTGCCACCCGCGCCCGCCTCGCAGGCGCCTCGTGCGCTGGGCGAGTCCTCAGAGTTTCCGCCACGTTGCCGCCCGTGCACGCCCCGTGGCTGCCTCGTGCGCTGGGTGGGTCCGGCGAGGTTTTGCCACGTTGCCGCCCGCGGCCAGCCTCGTGGCCGCCTCGCGCGCTCGGTGGGTCCGGCGAGGTTTTGCCACGTTGCCGCCCGTGGCCAGCCTCGTGGCCGCCTCGTGCGCTGGGTGGGTCCGGCGAGGCTTTCCCACGTTGCCGCCCGTGGCCAGCCTCGTGGCCGCCTCGTGCGCTGGGTGGGTCCGGCGAGGCTTCGCCACGTCGCCGCCCGTGGCCGCCCCGTTGCCGCCAACCGCGCTGTGTACTGCACTGAGGGGTTCTGATTTCCTTCTCCTGCTCATCGGGCCACATTCCTTGCGCCACACACCTTCCACCACATAACGCATTGATTACATCAGAGACCTTGCACTACACAGCTTCCACCACACAGATTGCACCGAATAGCTTGCATGACATAGCTTGCACATCCACGGTGCAATGCCTTCCTGCTTGGGGTCCGCGCTGGCGAACAGTGCTTGCACTTAGGCCACAGTGCTTGCACTTAGTCCAAGAGGCCTCCAAAGGCCAAAATTTAGGGGTCCTTTTCTCCAGACAGTGCTGGCAAATAGGGGTCTTTGTCTTTTCTCGGGAACTGGGCCTGCCCGTCGGTATGGCGGTTATGTGGTCGCCGTCGCCGCCCCGTCGCCACCTCGTCGCCGCCCGTCTTCTGCGCCTGCCAGTCGTTCTGGCGGCGATGTGGTCGCCGTCACCGCCCCGTCGCTCTGGGCCTGCCCGTTGGTTTGGCGGCTACATGGTCGCCGTCGCCGCCCCGTCGCCGTCTGGGCCTGCGTTACTTTGCACTGGTTTGCGTTATGTTGATGTACTTTGCATTGCATCCCATTGATTTACGTAGATTTCTTCGCGTTGCTTTACACTGATTGTCTTGCATTGCTTTGATTTGCTTGGCGCTGCTTGGCATTACTTTGCATTGTTCTGCATTGCTTTGTGTTGCGCTGGATTGCTTTGAGTTGGTGTGCATTGCTTTGCCGCCCGTCGCCACATAGATCACACCACGTGGAATGCACCACATAGATGTATTCGCATAGATCGCACAGCATAAATTCTCCTTTCTACAAAGAGAATAGACTCTACTCCCCCCCCCCGGCGTTATCAACCCCCCTTTTTCCGGTATGTAAATCATGTATGATTCTGACAACATGTCCATCCGAAATATGAATTTACGCTATCCCAAGGGAACTGGTATCGGTCCCCCTGAGGTTCCCTTGTTTTTTATATATTTGTTAAAACAAAAACAAAAAAAAAAAAAAAAAAAAAAAAAAAAAAAAAACGAAACGCGGGGACATCTTTGTTTTAACATAAGATTTGTTCACGAATCCCATGCAGAAATGGGACGAAGTGCACATGCGCGCGTCGTCGCGCGCGCATGCCGAAATCCTCCAAAAACCTTCGGTGTCGAAAGGATTTCGCAATCGAGTTTCCAAACAAACATACAAAAACGCAGTATTTCGCAGCACTGATTTGCTAACAAAACTTATGCGCGAGCTCTTGCGAAATCTTAAGAAAACCATAGGTTGTTCAAAATGTTCACAAAAAGCTGCAAAACGGGTTTCGCGCGCGCATGACGAAATCTGTCGAACGCCCTTGCGCGCGTGCCGTCGCGAGAATCCCCTGCGAACAAATGGACGAAGTGCAGACGCGCGCGTCGTCGCGCGCGTATGCCGAAATCCTTCAAAACCAATCGGTTTCGGAAGGATGTCATAATCGTGTGTCCAAAAACCCTACAAAAATACAAGGTTTCGCAACACGGATTTTCAACAAAAGCGTGCGCGCGCGCGCGCTCTTGCGTCGTAGTCGTCGTCGTCGCCGTCTTCCCTCCTCCCGCGTCGTCGTCGTCGTCGCCTACGTCGTCCTGTCTTTCCTCATGTTCGTCGTCGTCGTCCTCTTTGGCGTCGTGGTCGTTTCCGTCGTCGTTGTCGCCGTAGTCGTCCTTCCTCCTCCTCCGTCGTCGTCGTCGTCGTCCGTCGTCGGCGTCTCGTCGGCGTCCCTCCTATTTCGTCGCCGTCGTCGTCGTCGTCGTCGTTGTCGTCGTCGCCATCGTCTTCCCTCCTCCCTCGTCGCTGTCGTCGTCGGCGTCGCCGTCCTTCCTCCTTCTTCGTCGTTCGCGTCGTCGCCGTCCTCCCTCCTCCCTCGTCGTTGTCGTCGTTGTCGTCGTTGTCGCCGTGGTGGTCCTCTTTCCCCCCTCGTCGTCGTCTTCGTTGGCGACGTCGTCGTCGTCTTCGTCGTCGTCGTCGGCGTCGGCGTCGTCGTCGTCGCCGCCGTCGTCGTCGTCGTCGTCGTTGTCGTTGACGTCGTCGTCGTCGTCGTCGGTGCTGTCGTCGTCGGCGGCGTCGTCATCGTCGTCGTCGTTGTCATCGTCGTCGTCGTCGTCGTCGGCGTCGTCGTCGTCGGTGTCGTCGTCGTCGTTGTCGGCGTCGTCGATTGGAGACGTCGTCGGTGTCGTCGTAGTCGTTGTCGGCGGCGTCGTCGTCGTCGTTGTCGCTGTCGTCGTCGGCGTCGCTGTCGTTGCCAATCACGGTCTTAAGGGATTTTGCAAACCAAGTTGCGGGCGGGTGCGTGGGATGTTTGCGCGAGCAGTGGAGTGGACAACTTCAAGTTCGGCAAGGTGGATCGCGCCACATCGGTTCTCCTTCCTAAAAAGAGAATAGACTTTACCCCCCCCCGGACTTATCGGTTCCCCCTGGGATAATATGATTTCATATGTATATATATATATATATATATTCTGCACACTCGTCCATCCTAAATATGAAATCAGACCATCCCAACTAGGCCAGTTCCCCACCGCTGAGGTTCCCTTGTAAAAACACTATGCGGTGACATCTTTTGCTCTAACATAGCACGGTTTCACGAATCCCTTGCAAAAAACGGGACGAACTGCAGACGCGCGCGTCGTCGCGCGCGCATGCCGAAATCCTTCAAAAACCTTCGGCGCGGGAAGGATTTCGCAATCGAGCGTCCAGAAAACATACAAAAACACAGGGTTTCGCAACACAGAGTTCCTAAAAAAGCTTCCGCGAAAGCTCTTGCGAAATCTTAAGAAAACCATAGGTTTTTCAAGATTTTCACAAAATGCTACCAAACGGGCTTCGCGCGCGCTCATGTCGAAATCTGTCCAACGCCCTTGCGCGTGTGCCGTCGCGAGAATCCCCTGCAAAAAACGGGACGAACTGCAGACGCGCGCGTCGTCGCGCGCGTATGCCGAAAACCTTCAAAACCGATCGGTGTCGGAAGGGTTTCATAATCGTGTGTCCAAAAAACCTACAAAAACACAAGGTTTCGCAACACGGGTTTTCAACAAGAGCTTGCTACTGCGCTCCTGCGTCGTCGTCGTCGTCGTCGTCGCCGTCCTCCCGCGTCGTTGTCGTCGTCGTCGTCGCCTACGTCGTCCTCTGACTTTCCTCGTGTTCGTCGTCGTCGTCCTCTTTGGCGTCGTGGTCGTTTCCGTCGTCGTTGTCGCTGTGGTCGTCCTTCCTCCTCCTCCCTCGTCGTCGTCGTCGTCCGTCGTCGGCGTCTCGTCGTCGTCCCTCCTATTTCGTCGCCGTCGTCGTCGTCGTCGTCGTGTCGTCGTCGTCGTCTTCCCTCCTCCCTCGTCGTTGCCGTCGTCGGCGTCGCCGTCCTTCCTCCTTCTTCGTCGTTCGCGTCGTCGCCGTCCTCCCTCCTCCCTCGTCGTTGTCGTCGTTGTCGCCGTCGTCGTCCTCCCTCCTTCCTCGTTGTCTTCGTTGGCGACGTCGTCGTCGTCTTCGTCGTCGTCGGCGTCGGCGTCGTTGTCGTCTTCGTCGTCGTCGACGTCGGCGTCGTCGTCGTCGCCGCCGTCGTCGTCGTCGTCGTCGGCGTCGTTGACGTCGTCGTCGTCGGTGTCGTCGTTATCGTCGTCGTTGGCGTCGTCATCGTCGTCGTCGTTGTCATCGTCGTCGTCGTCGGCGTCGGTGTCGTCGTCGTCGTCGTCGGTGTCGCGTCGTCGTCGTTGTCGGCGTCGTCGAAGTCGTTGGAGACGTCGTCGGTGTCGTCGTAGTCGTTGTCGGCGGCGTCGTCATCGTCGTTGTCGCTGTCGTCGTCGGCGTCGCTGTTGTTGCCAAGTGCCATGTGGTACCCACCGTCACGGTCTTAAGAGATTTTGCAAACCAAGTTGCGGGTGGGTGGGTGGGATGTTTGCGCGAGCAGTGGAGTGGACAACTCACTGCGAACAGAAATTAATTGCACCACATAGATTGCACCACATATATTGCACCACATCGATTGCACAATAAAGATTGCACCACGTAGGTTGCACCACATAGAGACTGCACCACAGAATATGCTAGAACCGCAGAACATGCTAGAAACGCACCGTTTGGGGGTCCACGCTGGCTAACACATACATGTATATATATATATATATATATGCACACGAAAGTACATGTACAGTGCCCGTTGCCCAGGCCGCGATTCGCCAGTCTTTTTGTCACCGACTTACCATATTCAGTCCGCCACGTGTATACTCGCATGTGCGTGCTTGACCCTTGCTTTCAGAGTCAGTGTTGCCTTTGCGTTTGCCTGTGCTCCTCTAGAGCTAGGCAGTGCAAGCTGTTGGTGTCTGTCTGACTACCTACCAGACCACCCCAACCCAACCCGAAGACCCGAATTTCGGGTTGGGGGGGGGTAAGGGTTCCACACGTGTTTTTCGATGTTTCCCGACACCCCCCCCCACTGGAAATCGAGGGTAAATCTGAGCCTTCGGGTAGGGTTGGGGTGGTTTGGTGGGTGGTGTCTGTCTTCCCAATGCGAAACCGCCGTTCCTGGCCGAGGTGCTTCGGAGACCGTCTGCTCTGCTGCTGCGTCGAAGGCGCATCCTGGGCATCAAATATCTCGTGGACTTCGCGGGTTCGCAAACTCCTCGGATCCCAAGAAGCAAAGAGGTCCCGCTGGTCGGAGGCCCATGCCGTCGCTGTCTCTGCTCTCTTTTTCACATAATGCCAGCGAGGAAAGCCGTACAGCCACTGCCAAGTGCAGAGAGACAGGCACGCCTGGTGTAAGGAGACGGGAGACGGGGGGGGGGGGCAGCATGAAGGCGAGCGTGGAGAGGAGGAGGCCGGATCAGAGTGCGGAATTCGGCTGCCGTCCATGATCGCAGGCCCTGGACGACTCCACCAGAAATCACAGGCATAGTTGGAAGATGGCATGGGGCTCCATGTGTCCCATGCTGCGTTGCTCAGAGCTTGGCCAAACAAAACTCGACCCCTCCGCGCGCAGCCAAGCCACGCGCAAAAAATCCGGACGCTCGGCGTCATGGCTTCTAGCCATGCGCCGCGCATCCGAATCTGTACACCCGCGACTAATCGACGCAAGCGGTCTCCAAGTACACTACGTCGGGCAGTGCCACAGAGCCACATGCACTGGTTGCGGCCATGACATGTGCCAAATTCCCCTACAACGTGGACAGCAACGCGCCCACGTAAAAAAAACTGACTTTACACGACAACACCCCTCGATGAAATTCTGCTGCTTGAGGCATCCTGCCAAAACAAAACTGCAGCGGCAACGCTGCCTGGAAAGGCCGCTCGATCTACCAACTGTCAAGATCATGCATGCGTTCTGCCCTCTGCGCCTGGCCTCCTGAAACGGCACTTGATGCCAACGTCCCAGTGACGAGACCCAGCTAAGCAGCGTTGTGGCCTTCCTCGGCCACGCCGACAACGGCGGGCGGGCCCGCTCGGACCCGTTGATCGTTCTCTTCGCTGAACTCCTTTCGGGAGCCGTCAAGAGGGGGGTGTACAAGAGGGGGGGTGCAAATCATGGCCGGCAACATGTGCGCGGCCCAAGGGGGGGACCAGAGACGAAATAAAACTATCCTGGCGAAGGACCCAGACATAAGCAATTGTTCGTAACGCGTTGTGGGTGCCGCTTACGGTGGGGCTCCCTATGGGGCCAGGAAACGCCGCCCTGGGTGGGGGAAACGCATGCGAGAGCAACCACTGGGGCCTTCGGTGGAGCTCCCTATGGGGCCACGAAACGCTGCCCTGGGCGGAGGAACCGCATGCGAGAGCAACCACTGGGGCCTTCGGTGGAGCTCCCGATGGGGCCACGAAACGCTGCCCAGGGTGGGGGAAACGCATGCGAGAGCAACCACTGGGGCCTTCGGTGGAGCTCCCTATGGGGCCACGAAGCGCTGCCCAGGGCGGGGGAAACGCATGCGAGAGCAACCACTGGGGCCTTCGGTGGAGCTCCCTATGGGGCCACGAAACGCTGCCCAGGGGTGGGGGAAACGCATGCGAAAGCAACGACTGGGGCCTTGAGTGGAGCTCCCTACGGGGCCACGAAACGTTGCCCAGGGTAGGGGAAACGTGTGCGAGAGCCACCACTGGGGCCTTCGGTGGTGGAGCTCCCTATGGGGCCACGAAAAACGCTGCCAGGGTGGGGGGAAAACGCATGCGGAGAGCAACATGGGGGCCTTCGGTGGAGCTCCCTATGGGGCCACGAAGCGTGCCCAGGGTGGGGGAAAGGGGTAAAGCATGCGAGAGCCACCACTGGGGCCTTCGGTGGAGCTCCCTATGGGGCTACGATCGCTGTACTGGGTGGGGGAAACGCATGCGAGAGCAACCACTGGGGCCTTCGGTGGAGCTCCCCATAGGGGCCACGAAACGCTGCCCAGGGTGGGGGAAACGCATGCGACGAGAGCAACCAATGGGGCCTTCGGTGGAGCTCCCTATGGGGCTACGAAACGCTGCCCAGGGTGGGGGAAACGCATGCGAGAGCAACCATTGGGGCTTTCGGTGGAGCTCCCTATGGGGCCACGAAACGCTGCCCAGTGGGAGGGGGAAACCGCATGCGGGAGCAACCCACGGGGCCTACGGTGGAAGCTCCCTATGGGGCTACGAGCAGGGCGAGGGGGGAACGGCATGCGAGAGCTACCACGGGGGCCTTCGGAGGAGCACCCGATGGGGCACGAAACGCCTGCCCAGGGTGGGGGAACGCTATTGCGAAGAGAAACCACTGGGGCTTCGGTGGAGCTCCCTATGGGGCCACGAAGCGCTGCCCAGGGTGGGGGAAACGCATGCGAGAGCAACCACTGGAGCCTTCGGTGGAGCTCCCTAGGGGGCCACGAAACGCTGCCCAGGGTGGGGGAAACGCATGCGAGAGCAACCACTGGGGCCTTCGGTGGAGCTCCCTATGGGGCTACGAAACGCTGCCCAGGGTTGGGGAAACGCATGCGAGAGCAACCGCTGGGGCCTTCGGTGGAGCTCCCCATGGGGCCACGAAGCGCTGCCCAGGGTGGGGGAAACGCATGCGAGAGCAACCACTGGGGCCTTCGGTGGAGCTCCTCATGGGGCTACGAAGCGCTGCCCTGGGTGGGGGAAACGCATGCGAGAGCAACCACTGGGGCCTTCGGTGGAGCTCCCTATGGGGCCACGAAGCGCTGCCCAGGGTGGGGGGAAACGCCTGCGAGAGCAACCACTGGGGCCTTCGGTGGGGCACCCTATGGCGCCACGAAGCGCCGCCCAGGGTGGGGGGAAACGCCTGCGAGAGCAACCACTGGGGCCTTCGGTGGAGCTCCCTATGGGGCCACGAAGCGCTGCCCAGGGTGGGGGAAACGCATGCGAGAGCAACCACTGGGGCCTTCGGTGGAGCTCCCTATGGGGCCACTAAACGTGTGAGAGGTGTGCCGAGACCAGAGGCAAGGAGGGGGAGGAGGGAGGAGGGAGGGGGCAGCGGGAGGAAGGAACGCGGGGCGATGTCTCTTCAAAACGAAGACCCAACACCACAGGATGGTTGGGAATAAGAAGAGGCGCCGCGAAATCTGGGGAAATATCATGGCTCACGCCATGATATCCCCACCCCCCCCTAGTCATCACCCCCCTCTTTGCCGACCCCGATCCTTGTAGCCCACCTTCCTCCCCGCGAAGAAGCAGACCGCGCCGGCGATGCCGGCAAGCACCGGGAGCCCGATGCCCAGCGACAGGCCAAGGACCAGGGCCTCGTCCACGCCGTCCTCGCCCGACGCCGGGAGGTCTGGGCAGTTCATCAGCGTGGCCTTCTCGAAGTCGTAGTCCCAGCGGGGCGTGAGGTCGATATCACAGTACGGGGCGTCGCGGGGGAACAGCGAGTCGGCGACGGCGGCTTGCCCGTGCAGCTCCTTCTGCACGATGGCGGCCTTGTCGACGGAGTGCATGATCAGCCTCCGCACCTCGATGTCGTCCGTTGGCTCCTTCGCGGCGTTCATGACGATGATCTGGTTGTACAAGCGCGGGCCCAAGATGGTGCTGTGGGTCTCGGAGTGGTCATTCTGGAACTCCTGCACCTGCTCCGGGGTCAGCACCTTGTCGCCCACCGCCACGTCCAGGGTCCCATCGATCAGTGCCTGCTTGATCGCATCGCTCGAGTCGTAGTTCACCACGTGGAGCTCCTCCACGCCGCCGTGCTGGCCCCACCAGGCTGCGTTCCTGGTGAAGGCTACCTCCTCGATAGAATCGTCGGAACGCTTGGTCACATTCGAGAAGACCCAAGGGCCGGTGCCCGCGACGCCCCTCACGCCGACACAATTCACCGTCACGCTCGCGTCCACGCCAACGTCCACCATACTGCCATCGCCGTTGATGTGGCCCCACCTCGTGGGACACGAGTTGTGCGTGATCGGGTCGGTGGTTGGACCATTGGCGAAGCTCTCTGGGGACAGAATGCGCAGGGGGCGAATCAGGGAGAGCTCCTGCAGGAAAGGGTAGTATGGGGCGTCCAGCGTGATCTCGAAAACCTCGCCATCGCACTCCCAACCGGTGGTGTGGAGTGCCAGGTGATACCAGCCGTGGTACCAGTTGTGGTTCAGCGGCGGCTGCAAGACGTGATCAAAATTCATCTTCACAGCTGCGCAGTTGAAGCTGGTACCGTCATGGAACTGGACGCCAGTCCTGAGTGTAAAGCGATACTTTTGGCCCCCCGAGCTGGTGTCTGAAGCCGCCCATGCGGTAGCCAGCTGAGGCTCGATGACACCGTCGTGGCCGTAGGATACGAGGCCCTCGTATCCACCACCGTGCTGCGAGGCACGAGTTGGAGTGCCCTCAGTTCCTCTGCAATTTTGGTGTCCGTTCCATGGGAGCCTGCGTGGCCCCCGGCACTGTCCAATTTGGACCTGATTTGGACCGGATTTGGAACACATTTGGACGGGGTTTGGACCAGATTTGGACTGGATTCGTGGGGGCTAGGAGAACGAGGAGGGGGAGGGGGAACAGGAGGGGAGAGGAGGAGCAGGAGGATGGGCCAAATGTGGCCCCCACGCTGTCCACATGCAGGAAAAGCTGATTTCAATGTCGCCACCCAAGGCTCCCATGAACAGACATCGAATGCAATCTGCGGTCCTCGGTCTCCGAGATGGGCTACGAAAGAGACCAGCCGCCAAATTCCCAAATTCCCGGGGGCGGCTTCCCGCAGGACCTTCGCGGGCCCGAACGGGAGCTCCAAGAGGCCTTGCAGACGGTCCATGGAGGCCTCGAGTCGCCGAACGATCGGTCCAAGACGCGCCAGACGGCCTCCAAGCCGCCAGCGAGGCCCAAGAGGCCCCAAAAAGCTACAAGATTGAAGATTTCCCCAAGCAGTGCTTGCAGCCGGGGATCGGAGCTCGTTTCGAAGGAACTGGGCCCGCCCGTCGGTCTGGCGACTGTGTGGTCGCCATCGCCGCCCCGTCGCCGCCCCGTCGCCGTCTGGGTCTGCGTTGCTTTGTACTGATTTGCATTATGTTGCATGGCATTCTATTGAATGAAATTGATTTACTGTTGATTTGCATTGCTTCATGCGCATTGCTTTGCACTTGTTTGTACATTGGTTTACCTTGCCTCGCATTACATTGCATTGCTGGGCATTGCTCTGCGTTGAATTGACTTGCGCTGCTTTGTGCACTGATCATCGTCTCAGTGTCTTGCATTGCTCCACATTACTTTACATTGCTTGATTGCTGCGCATTGCCTTGCATAACGTGTCATTGCTTTGCATTGGTTTGAGCAAATTGTCATTGCGCTGCGTCGTTGCATTACAATCGCACTGTGTTGCAATCGCATTGCGTTGCACTGCTTTGCATTGATTTCCGTGGGTTTCCATTGCTACGCCGTGCTTAGCATTGCGTTGCTCCGCATTGCTTTACATTGCTTTGCATTGCGTGGCATTGGGTTGCTCTGGTTTGCATCGTGTTGCATTGCTTGCGTGCGCATTGCGTTGCAGAGCTTTTCATTGTGTTGCCTTGCTTTGCGTTGCGTTGCATTGCGCTGTTGATGTGTTGCTTTACATTGAGTTGCATCGCGTTGTCTTGTCTTTGAAGTCGGTGTGCATCGCTTGCACTGCTTTGCACCACATCGATTGAACCACACGGATTGCACTACCTCGATTGCACCACATTGGTTCTCCTGTCTAAATTATCCTGGCGATGGACCCAACCGTATGCAGTTGCGAGTGCCGCAAAGCAGGTTGAACGAATGAGAGGGAACTTCCTAAGGGGCCACGAAACGTGTGAGGGGTGTGCCAAAATGGGCGCGGTGCCGCCATGCGGACGCAGCCACTGGGGCCCTCGGTGGAGCTCCCTATGGGGCCACGAAACGTGTGAGGGGTGTGCCAGAATTGGTGCGGTGCCGCCATGCGAACGCAGCCAGTGGGGCCTTCGGTGGAGCTCCCTATGGGGCCACGAAGCGTGTGAGGGGTGTGCCAAAATGGCCGCGGTGCCGCCATGCGGACGCAGCCACTGGGGCCTTCGGTGGAGCTCCCTATGGGGCCAAGAAGCATGTGAGGGGTGTCCCGAAATGGGTGCGGTGCCGCCATGCGAACGCAGCCACTGGAGCCTTCGGTGGAGTTCCCTATGGGGCCACGAAACGTGTGAGGGGTGTGCCGAAATGGGTGCGGTGCCGCCATGCGAACGCAGCCATTGGAGCCCTCGGTGGAGCTCTCTATGAGGCCACGCAACGTGTAAGGGGTGTGCCGAAATAGGTGCGGTGCCGCAATGCGAACGCAGCCACTGGGGCCCTCGGTGGAGCTCCCTATGGGGCCACGAACCGGGTGAGGGGTGTGCCGAAATGGGCGCGGTGCCGCCATGCGAACGCAGCCATTAGAGCCCTCGGTGGAGCTCCCTCAGGGGCCACGAAACGTGTGAGGGGTGTGCCGAAATGGGTGCGGTGCCGCCATGCGAACGCAGCCACGGGGGCCCTCGGTGGAGCTCCCTCAGGGGCCACGAAACGTGTGAGGGGTGTGCCGAAATGGGTGCGGTGCCGCCATGCGAACGCAGCCACTGGGGCCCTCGGTGGAGCTCCCTATGGGGCCACGAAACGTGTGAGGGGTGTGCCGAAATAGGTGCGGTGCCGCCATGCGAACGCAGCCACTGGGGCCCTCGGTGGAGCTCCCTATGGGGCCACACAACGTGTGAGGGGTGTGCCGAAATGGGTGCGGTGCCGCCATGCGAACGCAGCCACTGGGGCCCTCGGTCCCTATGGGGCCACAAAACGTGTGAGGGGTGTGCCGAAATGGGTGCGGTGCCGCCATGCGAACGCAGCCACTGGGGCCCTCGGTGGAGCTCCGTATGGGGCCACGAAACGTGT